AAAAAGAATTAATGTGAGCTCGTGAATATCGAAAGCTTCCCAGCTGAGCCAACTATCTACAAACCAGCTCAGAACGTAATACGATCACTGCTTACGAAGTATTCAATCAGGAATACTGACCAGTACATCGATCACTTCATCGTTTATGACTTTGAGGCCATTCTTAAGCCTACCGCGACTCAATACGGGGAGAATACTGTCTTCACGAGCGAACACATTCCTGTGTCGGTATCAGTAGCTGATAGTTTAACCGAGGGGGTGCGTTGCTTTGTAAATGACGATCCAAAGATGCTACTTACCGAAATGTTCAATTACATTGGTGATGTATCGGTTAAGATTCAGCAGTACAATGTCAATAAATATATGTCGCTTCTACAAAAAATCATCAATGCACATGGTCTGACAGGTATGGAAGTCCCAGGCGCTAATTCTGATAAAAAAGTACAAGATGTCTGATGTGGAGAGTTGGATTGAAGAGGAGGGAAAGTATGCCAGCTTCTTTGACTTTCACCGCAGTCTTGGTTTTGGTAAGCAAAGGTCTGATTATGGGAAACTGAAACAGCAGCTTGACCAGGTACCAGTATTCGGCTTCAATTCTGGTCGATATGATATTAACTTGATTAAGAAAGATTTGTTTGCCGTAATTGGTACCGACAACGTCAAATCTGTCATCAAGAACCCCAGCTACATGTGCATTGCTACATCGGACATGAAAATGCTTGATATCACTAACTATGTACCAGCTGGTACCAGCTACGACAAGTATCTTACAACATATCTCGGTGGCTTGCAAATGCGAAGAACAAAATAAAATGTGTCTGTGGTCCTTGGTAAGGGTCTTTTCCTTACGAAGTACATCACCGCCGTTCAATGTCTAAAGCAGACTACTATCCCACCTAAGTCAGCTTTTGATAGTAAGCTCCGTGGAACGAGCATCACGAGCGATGACCCACGAACGAGTGAAGTTCGTGTGGGATTAACCACGAGATGAAATCGATCAAAGACCTACTGATCTGGTACAATAATCTCGACGTAGTCCCTTTCACCAAAGCTATCAAGGCTCAGCGAGAGCTATTTAAGCGCTTCGATCTGGATATGTTTGCGGATGGAGTGTCCCTACCTGGTCTTTCAGAGAAGGTTATGTATCAGACCTGCTTCAATAATCTCCAATATCCGGATAAGAAACCTGCTAACGCATTCCGATTTCCAGCGAAGCGCATGGCTGGCTACAAGAGTCAGGTTGCTAAGGCAAAACGAAAATTTGGTATGACGCTCGAGCACGTGAATACATTGCTGCAAAAGCAAAAGTATCTGTGTGGTCTATGCTATTGTCAGCTGACTGCTGATACCGCTTCCGCTGATAGAATCAATAACAATCTTAAGCACACTGATGGGAATATCTTGATCAGCTGCATTTCATGCAACACCGCTCGAAAAGATATGTCTCTTAGGGGGTTCAGATACAAGAAACCGCTTGATAATAACGCAGACAGATTGGTGTTTTCGATTGACAAGGAGGAATCTGAGATTTACGGGAAAATGAAAGCTAACATTGCTGGTGGATCATCAATTATATTCAACAGGTATGCTAAGCGAAACGAGACGAAGATTCGTAGAGGTAAGATCTGCAAGAAAATTATCGGATACGACGCTAACGCTCTATACCTATGGGCCCTTGGTAATGAGATGCCATGCGGTCGATTGACTACGGTTGAAGCGTATGATGGTATCATCGATGACATCAAAGCATACAAAGTATTCGGCTTTCTTGAATGTGATATCCGAACACCAGAGTACCTTAAACAGTACTTTGGTGAGATGACTCCAATTTTCAAGAATGTACTGATCGACTGTACGAATGAGAGCGTCATTGGTAAGCACATGTTCGAACACAATGAGGCGCGCAAGCAAAGCCGAGCAAAACCAGCTCGCAAGTTGATTGGTAGCTACTTTGGTGAAAAGATTCTCATATACGCACCTTTGCTGATCACCAAGACTTACAGCTTCATAAAAGCGAGCTCCCATAAAGCTTTTGCTCCATTTATGGAGGCTGTATCAAACGCCCGGCGAGAGGGTGATGTTGATAAGTCTAAGGCTATGATTGCCGAGATGATGAAACTGGTAGGCAACAGTGCTTTTGGTCGATCTGGCATGGATATGAGCAAGCACAAAGAGGTTAAGTATGAGTCGAGTGACAAAGCTATTAAGAACAAGATCGAACAATTTACGTTCCATGGTCTCGAGGAGCTTAATGATGCGTGTGAGATCACGATGAAGAAGCGCCGACTCAATAATAAGAACCCAGTCCATTTGTCGATTGCTATCTATCAGCTTGCTAAGCTACGCATGCTTCAGTTTTACTATGACTGCATAAATTTCTACTTCGATCGCTCTGACTTCCAGTATCAGGAGATGGACACTGATTCGGCTTATATCGCTTTCAGCTGTGATAATCCATATCAAGACTGTCTTAAGCCTGAGCTACGAACCCACTTCAAGGAGCAATAAATACGATTGGTTCCTACGTGACTACAACATTGAGGTAGCTAAGTTTGATCGCCGTACGCCTGGTTTGTTCAAAGATGAATGGTCAGGTGATGCTATGGTCTCACTATCGAGCAAGAACTATATTTGCTACCTACCCGATGAGACATACAAAGTAAAGGTTTCAGCGAAGGGTATTCAATCAGGGAAGTGGTCGAAACAATGGTGTTTCTTAATCCTGGATGGGTTTTGAGACTGTCGTAACGGGGATCGCATCACGCTACAAAGGTACAAAAAAGGGGGTTCAGACTATCCGAAAGGAAACCAAGTTCTATCATCCACCTATACTTCAAAACCAAAACAGGCGCTTAAACTACCTACTTATGAACAAAACGTCCGAAGTATCTTTGAATGAATGGGTTATCACCGAACTGTGAACTCACCCTTGGTATATTTTAAATCAGGCTTAATCCCACCTGGGGGGATTTTTTTCTTTTAATTGTGTATAATATTTATAATTCTCTGTGGA